TATTAAATAAGCTTTCTCATCTTCTCAATAGATGATATAAGTCAAACCCTAATATTAAATACCCAGTCTGTAGAATTTCAAGCTTCTTTCTCTGTAAATAGCTAGAACTTAAACTTCTCATTCGTAGCTCACGCTTTAAACCTTTCTCCCTTCTGCCTATTGAAATATTGCAGGGTTATTGTATTGGAGGCTTATACTTAATGCATATTTGAGTTGTGTGTAACTGTATGTGTAGACGGTAGATGTTTTATACGAAGGTTGTAAGGCATATCCTTTAAAGATTAGATATTCAGATTAAACACCCTGTTTCTTGATGTGCATTTGTTCTGAAACCTGTTAATCGTGGGGTTCTTAATTGCCTAAGTAGGAACTAAGCAGATGCATCATGTTAAAAGGTGTCTCTTAATTAACAATCTTTACTTTTGAATGTTGGTTATATCAGGTTAAAGTTGAAGGACCAATATTGCAATTGTGCTAAAGACGGCTAAGAAGTGCAAGGGGCGCGCCTCACTATTGGGAGAAATACACGGGTAGCGGAGCAATTATGAAATTCTTATATAAATGGGTGAAGCGTCTCTCCAACTAACATCAGATTCATTTTTTCTACATTTTACAAGATTTACTCTCTCTAGTTTTTGCTTACGATTCATCTTCTTTTATTTTGTTCATATATTGTTAATCACTTTGATTAACAGTATTCTAGATCTGTTTGTAACTCTTTTATCTGTATCGTTCTATATTGTGAATAAAACGTTTAGTTCATACATTTGTTCATGGTATCAGAGCTAACATCCCAGATCTAGTTGCGTGAAATCTGTAAGGTGTGCGCGACGATTGCTTCATCAATTCTCGATTTACAGTGTGTGGTTCCTTAGGTAAGTTTTTCTTCTTATCAGTTCTTTTTCTTTGTTTCCTCGAGTAAATGACTATCTCGTGTCGTGCCTATACAGATCTTTCAGATCTCGTTTAATACTCAAGGTTCCTATGTTTTTTGTTGAATCGTTTGCAATGTTTCTAGTTTATCATTACCGTATATCATCAAATCTGTTGTGGATTGCGATGATCTGGTAAAGATCTCGATCGACCACACGATCTGTGATGCCAATCTGTTGCATAATATACCTTGTATAATCTTGTGTAGAAATATATTCATTTTGGTTGTTAATCTATTGTTCCTTTGTTTGGAATCGTGTTTTGCATATGAACAAATCTGTTGTGATGAGCGATGGTTCTTTTTTAAGATCTCGTCCTATCACATATTCTATGATGCTATTTCGTTAGTCATATATCTTGCGAATCTTAGTTTATATTTTGATGAATATATGATCAATATTGTCTTCCTTCTTAAGATCTGTTGTGATGAGCGATGGTTCTTTTTTAAGATCTCGTCCTATCACATATTCTGTGATGCTATTTTGTTAGTCATATATCTTGAGAATCTTGGTTTATATTTTGATGAATATATGTTATGTATTGTCTTCATCCATAAGATCTGATGTGTATTTCTTTCATGATATTACGAATGTATGAAGCTTATGAACAGATCTACTGTGGCTGTAACATTTCTTTATATTTAAATCTTCTCATATTCTGTGTTTTTTCTTTCGTTTGTCGTTAAATCCAGTAGTTTTCTCATTGATGAAAATTTGTGCTCTTTCATTACATGAAAATAAACTGTTGGAAGTAGATGATCAGTTCTTATGGTTGAATCGATTTCTAAAAGATCGACTCTCCTCCTAAACTGTGATACTCGCTCTATTTGGTCTGTTGGTTTTATGCTTTTCCTGATTCGTCATCTCCTTGTAAAGTGCATTATTACTTGCTTTCTCTTAGATCTGGAAATAACTTCCAAACTGGTTAGGCCTGGTTTGCCTGGCATTGTTGTTGTTGTTGGTTCCTTGTGGTTCCGGTGTATGTTTGTTCAGGTTATCCTGGTGTGCTTATTTTTAACCTAGGTTAAATTTCTATTGCTGACTCAAGTCTGTTTTCTTCTCTTCCTATGTATCTGTGCTCTTTGTGTGTTATCTTGTCAATCTTTGTTGTTATCTGTTTTTTTTTCTTTCGCTTTTATTTTATGTTTAAGGAACTAGACAGTTAGCTTGACCTAGCACTTTAAGTGTTTTAGGAATCCTGCTTTTATCTGTCCTAGTTTCCTTTGTGTGTTCTCTCTATGTCTGGTTCTGAGGTTGTCACTGCTAGATCAATGGAATCCAAAAGCACTAGTCTTGATTTTGGACATCCACTGCATCTTCATCCCATTGATACAAGCGGAACACCTTTGATAACTGTTAAGTTGTGTGGTACGGATAATTACAAGGTTTGGGCATGTGCTATGATTTTGGCCTTAGAAACAAAAAATAAAACTGGTTTTATTGACGGATCCTGTCCTAGACCTGTCAATGATCCCATTCTCGAAAGACAATGGGATCGATGTAACTCAGTGGTCCTTTCATGGATTTTGAGTTCTATGACAGAAGACTTGTTTTTAGGACAGGTTTTCTCTAAAGAATCCTCCGAAGTTTGGGAGGAACTCAAAGAGACTTACGACAAAGTTGATGGATCCGTCATGTATAATCTGTATCAGAAAATTAATTCTTTGAGTCAAAATGGATCTTTTATTTCCGAATACTATCATAGACTAAATTCATTGTGGAAACAATTTGACGCCCTAGTTAAACTCCCTTCATGCACTTGCAATGACTCACAAGAGTTCTTTGAACACACACAACTGGTTAAGCTCATGCAGTTTCTCATGGGTCTTGACGATCTATATCAGCCCATAAGAAGCAATATTCTCACTAGAGATCCCCTTCCATTGGTCAAAACTGCTTTTTCTCTTGTCTCTCGTGAAGAGTCTCATCGCAGTGGTAATATGTCTCAACCTCGATCTAAATCTCAAAACACTGCATTTTTTTAGTAAATCTACTGACAACAAAAGGAGGAATACTGTTCTTAACTGTAAACACTATGGCATGTCGGGACACACCATTGAAAGGTGTTTTAAACTGATTGGTTTTCCAAATAATTCCCAAAATCGACCCAGATCTCAAAACTCCTCTTTCAAAAAATACTATTAGTAACAATAATGCCAGTATCCCTGACGCTACTCATTCTAAAACTACACAATCTGTCACCCCTTTTCCTTTCTCTGAAGAACAGATAACTAAACTTCTTGGGCTTATTAAGCAAAAACAACCATACGAAGGAGCATCTGCTACTATGGCAGGTACTAACCTTCAATCTGGTTGGATCATTGATTCTAGAGTGAATCAACACATGACTCACAATTCCAGTTTTCTTAAAAATACAGTTGACATCTCTGAGCTTGATCTCAGAGTTTGTCATCCTAATGGCACTAAAGCCAAAATAAATAAAATTGGTGATTTCAAATTGACAAACAATGTCATTTTATTTGATGTGTTGGTAGTTCCAGAATTCAATGTTAATTTGTTGTTTGTTCATAAACTAAGTAAGGATAATAATGTCTTTGTTGGTTTTGATAAATCTAAATGTTATATCCAGGATTCACTACGAAAGAACGTAGTGGGGACTGGTAATCAGGAGGGACTCTATTACTTTGACCAAAACTTTAAGAGTGAGTCTTCATATGCCACTACTGTTTCTAACATGTCTTCTTTGCCCTCTGCCCAATTATGGCATTCTCGCTTAGGGCATCCTGCTAGTTAAGTGTTAAAATTACTGAAAAATGAGCTTAAAATTGATAATGACAGTTGTGGTTCTTGTGAGATTTGCCATAAGGCAAAACAAACTCGGGAAAGGTTTGAATCTAGTATTCATAAAACAAAAGGTCTAGGTGACTTAGTTCACCTAGACGTTTGGGGTCCTCACCATGTCCAGGCTAAAGAAGGTTTTAAATATTTTTTAACTGTTGTTGACGACTATACTCGGGCTGTCTGGGGTTTTTTTGTTAAAAGGCAAATATGAAGTCGAAGAAAATATTATCACTTTTTACAATCTTCTTAGTACTCAATTTGAAAAAAACTGTTAAAATTTTTTAGGACTGATAACGGTTCTGAGTTTATGAGAAAAAGATTGAGTGATTTCTTTAAAAATAAAGGGACTTTACATCAGACTTCTTGTGTCTATACTCCCCAACAGAATGGGGTAGTTGAAAGAAAACATTGTCGCCTTCTAAATGTTTGCCAGGGCTCTCTTATTTCAGGGAGGAGTTCCTCTTAACATGTGGAGTGAATGTATACTCACTGCCACTTATTTGATTAATAGAACTCCCTCTTCTGTGCTTAACGGTAAGTGCCCCTATGATCTTGTCTATGGGTTCCAACCTGTCCTTTCTCATCTTAAATGTTTTGGATGTTTATGTTTTGCCAGCATACCTAATGTGACTGATAAATTCTCTCCAAAATCTAAAAAGTGTGTTCTATTAGGATATGTTGGTTCTCAAAAGGGTTATAAACTGTTTAGTTTAGAGTCAAAGAAAATCATTGTTTCTCGTGACGTTAAATTCTATGAGAATATTTTTCCTTTTAAGATATGGATGAATAGAGTTGATGAGCCTAATCATGATGATATTTCTAGACTAAATTTTTTTCAATACAGTTCATCTAATGAAAATATGGAGGATATACCCAATGATAAGTCTCGAGACAACTCTACTAATAGATATACACATCAGTCAGGGTCTGACTGTGATCCTCATCATATACCTGGTAGCCCACCTAGAGTTGCCATTGAGGAGCCTCTAGGAAGCTCGACTGAGTCTTTAAATCTTGCCCACATAAGGTGCACTAGAACTGCTATACTAACAGTAAACCCAGCCATGCTATAAATTATGTAGCAGAAGATCACTTAATATCCGACAGATCTTGATATTTTGCTTTTACATTCTTGATCAGATTGATCAAAACCATGATTTGGTGGATTCAAAGAAGTTATAAAGAAGAAAAAACAAGGCATGATGAACACCATTAATAAGAAACTGGTTACCTCCTCTTCATGGATGCCCCTGGAACAAACAACACTATTTTCCGATACGTCCAACTTTTTTAGTTATTGGTTATAACCATTTCCCAACACTATCTGTTTAAGCCTTTAGTTGTGATTATAACAATAATGGTAACCTCTCCTCCTATCTATAGAAGAGATCAATCTATGATACTGTTCATATAGACATTAACGTTACATGGAAAATAAATCGATAAAGGCAAGTACAAACTACACCAAACACTCTACACAGTTCTGGGTGCATCGAAAACTAAGTGTTCATTGTCCTTGAGATCCACATATATTATAGGTCTTCTTGCCGATTTTGCACACAATGCTACTGAATTTGCAGGTAAACATACATCTCTTTGACGATCCTCCAACATTGATGTATTTCCCATTTTCTGCTTCGACCACTCTCTTCAGAGATTGACTGATGTCACTTGCCACCCAGGCTATGGATATATGAGGTCGAGGATCCTGTTACAGAACTTTCTCATCAATAAATCACATGTGAAAGATTATTACAAGTTAAAGGTGGAGCTTACCCCTCTTTTTCATAGAAGGGTTACAATACTAGCATTTAAAAACTTAGTACACAAAAATTGGTGCAAAATTTAGCATTTCTCAATTCCCTCAAAATCTAAAGGATATCACTTTTGAAGTTGAAAATTAGTTTGTTTGATGTTGAAAATCAAAGTGTATGCCTCCTTTCTACGATGTAGGGAGTAAATAAGAAGGTCAAACAACATTCAGCAAGCATTAAACCATAAAGTCTCCATGAACACTAACCTTGTAAAATTCAGGAAGATTGTGCAATTTATAAACCTCATTAACAGATTGAATCTGTTTTCTTACCTGAATACAACACTCTACGTAAGTGTCCCAACTTCCTACTACAGTAGTTAAGTTTGGAGGCAAATTAATTTTAAAACATTCAAAATGAAAGATCAAACATACCTCAACTAGGCCTCCTGATGTATTTTCAACCGAAAGAAATGTGCGTGTCCGATCATCGTTCACAAAAACCTCCCACTTGTTAAAATCAATCAAATAACTGTTTTCAACATCATCAAAAAACAAAAATGAAAATGTGTAATGTGAAGGTTAATTAGTAGCAAATAGTTGAAGTGTTATGTTCAAACGGGTTCTGAAGCTGAAGCTTCTGTCGAAGCATTGTGACCACCGAGTCTATTTGATGCACACGTATAGGAACAGTTCTTCCAAGACTTATGTGAAATTCCCTCCCTAACGCAGCTTGTACTAACTTCTCATCTTTTAGCAGCATAAGTAATGGAACATCAATATCCACAACATGAAGACCTGGTATAATTGATGTGACTTTCTTCATAAAATGAGCCAACTCCTCCTTTCTTCCGGATGGTATAAAGACTATTGCATAAGTAGTATATGTCAGCAAATATCATGAAAAAAGAAGAAATAACCAATTGCATAATAACATTGTTGATAAAGTAATCAATAATTTTAAGATTACAAGTTTGACATCAAATACATGCAAAACAACGTCAACGTGGCTACCTGTACGACATTACAGACAAGGAACACATTATCACCTAGTAACATATGCGAGAAAGTCAATGGGAAACAAATTATTATTCTTTCTAAAAAGACGTATTCAAAACAGAGTATGAGGGGGATTTATACATACACATGTGTTCATCTCTATATGCAGACCCTTCCTACACCTTAACTATTACATAATCGCAATTCACTTGCCACAGTAAGCCTAATAGATATGAAATAGTCGTAAAACAAAAATTCAACAATCAAAATGCAAATACGAATTTTTTTCTTGTGTATGAATGGAGTATAAAACATAAACATTTGTCCTGGGACTTCGGCACCCCCTATTTTACCACTAATACATATCTAATTTTACAGAAGAACTCTGCCTTCCTTTGAGCAAGTACTCTCTTCGTCCTGTAAAAGTGAAAACAGCTTCCACTTTGAATGTCCCATATCAATCTCAACTTCACAAACTTCAAACAGAAGCTACATGCTTACATGTTGTTATTGTTACAAATTACTAATACATTGATTGTCATCCACAAATTTCCCATTCTTATTAGTCAACTTATCCAGCCATTTCAGTCAAAAGACATCCATCAATTGTGATTTCAAAATGTAAAGGTAGTACCCGAAAAAACGAGCACAAATAAATGCAGGAGTTGTGAAAGTGCTCCAAACAGTGACGCAAAAACAGAGGAAATCAAACCTGGGATGTAAACATGCAAAGCATAATTGCCTTTGATGTGAGGGAAGCTGCGAATTCTACTAGCCGTATTGCGTTCCAAGTAATCAAATGTTCCTGAAAAGAACCCAAACTTATCGTAAATCATACAAAAATAAGCTCACAAATGCATGAGGTTTTTGTGTGCGTGCGTTTTAGGGTTTATGTACAACAAGTACTGGCGTTTGAAGGAAGGACTTACCGAGTGAATTGGGAGGGTTGAGAAGTTCGATAGGCGGTGAAGGGAGAGCGGGTACAGGTAGTGATTGATCGTGTTCAGAGGCAGCAATCGGCGATACAACATTTGTTTCTGAATCAGAAGTGCCTCCGTACGATGCAATTAGTGCCTCCATTGTCTATCTCATTGTCAAGTGTGGAATTCGAGCAACTCTGCATTTGTGAAAACATTAAGGTGGCGTTTGTTTTTTAAGAGGTGCTGAAGTCTGAAGTCTAAATTCACTTCTGAATTTTAAGAGGTAGTGCTGAAGTCTGAAATCTGAATCAGTCAGACTGTTTGTTTTTACGTCTGAAATCTGAAATCTGAATCAGTCAGACTGTCTGTTTTTATGTCTGAAGTCTGAATGGGAATGGGAAAATATGTCCAAAACAGATTGTTTCAAATTGCAGGTAACGACATGCAGAAAGATTCTAATTTCCAGCAGATTGTTTCCAGAACAGATTGTTTCAAAACAGCTTGTTCCCTAACACCCATTGCTGCTTGTGGTTGATTGTATATCAATCTTGGAAGGGGCTTTCTTGGGGTATGGTTTAGAGATATGCCGCAAAACAGTTCATTATAACAATGTGGTTCCTATATGCGTAATGACGTGACTAAATTCTTTTTCTTCTTGCAGTGCTCATAATTAGAGATATGCCGCAAAACAGTTCTTGAAGACCTATCCTGAGGATCTTATTGTTCACTGTAAGCATTTCCCTTAGTGCTCCTTATTTATAGTTTTTTATTATCATACATGGTTTAGTGGAGGACTAATGAAAAGACGTGCATGAAGAATATCTTCCAATTCTGGAGAATGAAGACACCTTTATCATCTTCTGATTGAAAGAAGATAGTTGACTATCATGGTATAAGAAGCATACTTATATATATGGACTCAGTATATGTGTGCAAGTTGCAACAAACCACAGTTGAAATAAAATTGTCAAATTGATGAGTTGAAGTGTTCAAAGAATTACCCTTTCTAAATTACCCTTTCTTATTTGAAGACCAGATAAACAGTAGCTGTTAWTGTTGGGTTTGAAATCAAATAACATACAATAACTACAGCAGCTAAAACCCCATCAAATTCTTGCCCACATTGCCAAAACCCCTTATTATGATTTCCAACACGCAAAACCACTCAACAAAAACACATAAGGAAACATGATCAAGAAAATTTGCCAAAACCCCATATAAAGAATCTTAAGAAAAGGTAAAACCGACCTCACCCATTAAACAAATATGTCTAAAGAACCTCAACATTGATCATCATCAAGAAACAACAACAAAAATAGAAACGAACCCAACAGGAGGAACAAGATTCTCGATTACAATTAAAGATCTGTAGTTTATTACAACTGCAAGTTTTTCTGTCCAATACAAACAGGGTTTCCGTCCAAGCAAGTATCATGATGAAGAAGATGCATAAATCAAACCCATTTAAATCGAGAAATCAAAGAAGACGCAGAAATCAAAGAAGACGCAGAAATCGAATAAGAATTGAAATCGAGATGGATGGATACCTTAAATCGAGAGCTTGAGAGATGAGAGATCGAGAGCTTGTGAGACAGATCGAGAGATGAGAGATCGAAAGCTTGTGAGACAGATCGAGCGATGAGAGATCGGGAGCTTGATCCAGGGAACTCGAGCGCAAAGAGATGAGTAGAGTAGGGAGGCGACAAATTAAAATAAGAGATAAGTGGTTTCTCAAAAGCTCTTAATTAAAAAAAAAAAACAAATGCTCTGAATCCTTTTATGTTGATCGATTCAGACTTAAAAAAGAAAGAATTTGTTTAAATGCTTTTTTTTTTTTTTTAAACAAACAGCCCCTAACTAAAACCCTTTCTGGCCACTAATGTTTCCCGTTCTTGCAACTTGGTCACTTATGTTTTAATATTTACTGTTCAGCCCCTTTCTTGGAAAAGACTCCCAATCTATATATTTATACTATACTAGAAGCGTACTCGTGCAATGCAGCGAGATACATCGTATTTTTATTATTTCATTTTATTCTTTATCTCAGTCGATGTTATAATATGGCTTTATGTGATTTTGAGAAAGCGATGAT